CCCTCCTTGAGTAGCTTTTTCTGTGCTGCCCATCATTTCTGCCCATTCTAAACACATTCCAACCATCAAAACCCTGCCAGGACACCTCGTTTTCCTAACCCTAACCCTACCCTGCTGCACACCCCCAACCCTAATATAGGGCTAAAGTTCCATTGAAAAGAGGGCAATTCTGCAAACCCTTCCTTGAGTACCGTGTTCTGCACAGCTCATCCTCTCTGCCCTGCGTGTGGCCTGGTGGGATGGGGCCTTGGGGAGGGCTGCGTCGGAGCGCTGCTGCCTTCCCGGCGGACCCCCGGCCCGATCCCCCCCTCATCCTGCTGCCCAGGCACTGAAGGACGGCACTCGAAGAGAGATCCAGAAGGAGCAGCAGGAAGGGGCGCTGGAGCGTTCCGGACCCAATTTCCACATGGGGGGGGTGGGGGGTCCACAGGACCGTGCAGGCCGTGGTGCCCCGCAGCAGCCAGGTAGCCGGGTTGTTCAGGGACGCCGCGACCCACGCGGAGGGCTGCTGCCGGGGCTGGAAGCGGTTGCGGCAAGCTGGCAGGATGGGTGGTCTGCAGGCAGGAAGGCTCAAGCTGGCGCTCCGGGCAGGGCTTGAAGAGCTTTTCCTGAAATCCCCCGCGAAGGAAGCTGCTGCCAGCCTGTGCTGGCCCTTAGGCCCCTCTGGCTCCACTCGGGGCAGCCTCCCATGTTCCCCGGTGCGAGTGCGGGGCAAATCCTGGCTCAGCTTTCACGCTACTCCAATGAGTTGGATTTGCACTCCTCAGGCACTTAGAAAATGTGAACCTGGTGGACGCGCCGTGCGTGCCTTCGCTCCCTCGTCTGCTCCTTGGCCCTGGCCTGTTTCCCGCCGCCTTTGCACCCCACCCCCTTTAAAGGAGCAAAGACCCCAGACCGCCTCTTGTTCCTTCACCAAAGAAAAGAGAGCCGATTGACCCCCTTCCTTTAAACAAGCAAAGCAAAACCAGCGAGCAGTTGTCACAGCAATTTTGTACCAAATAATTATCCGTCAGGCATCAATAGCTGCTCAACTGTTTATTATTCTGCTGTCAATATGATTTATTGCCGTTGAAAGGAAAAAAAGGTGAGCGTCAATAAACTCCAGGACTGGTAAATTTACTAGCACAGATTTTATGGCGTTTAAGAAATGTACGGAAATTTACAACCGTTTACTGAACGGGGCATCTGCTTTTTCCTGGAGGTTGGCAGGCGGTGAAGAGGGCGATGCCTTCACCGGGGGGGGGGGGGGGGGCTGCGGGTGTGGAAAGGATGAAGTGGACACGATCCAGCAGGAATCGCCGCAAGGAACGCGGGGCGCAGGGGGTCAAGCTCAAGCTGCGCCTGGATGGAAGATGCTCGGACCCCTGGCACGCTGCGTGGGGAGGCCCAGGGACCCCAAACCCCATCAGTTCAGCCACCCCAAACAGCTGTGCTGGGTGGGGATGATGGGAGTTGTAGTCCCCAATCCGGCGGGCGTCCAGTTGGGGGGGGGGACTATGTCAGTTCACTTGTGTGTTCGTCCCCACCCCGGCTCCTCCGTGTGCAGTGACAGCACGCCAAAGACGCATGGGGTGTTCATATATGACTTTTCTTGCCTTGAGCTCCTGCCGTGAATGACAACTAAGAAATACTTTAAATAAACTAGAAAGGGGGGGTGAGGCAGGGCGAGATGCCAGGAATGGCAGGAACTGCAGGCTGCCGTAAAACGGCAGTTCTGGAATTAAATTCTGGGAGAGGCGTGGAAGGCAATGCCGAGCATATGCCTGGAGCAATGCTGGAACCGAGCGGGGCAAAATGACTCACTGCTGCCCACCGCCACCCAGGGGGACAGTGCCAGGCTGCCTTCCGCTTCCCCACCGGCCAGGAAGTTCGAGCACCTGAGTTTCCTCTCTGTTCGGGTGTGAGGCTGCGCTTGTCTGTCATAGTACAAGAAGCCAAAGCTCCCGAGGGTCCCACGATGACCGCGCTCGTCTGCTCCCGTCTCTGCTGAACTGCTCCGACCGGCAGGCCCGGTTCTTCCGCCTGCATCTTGGATGCA